ATTTAGACATGGTAGGGCTCCCTCCGGCCTTGTTGACGCCGAACAGCTACTCACTCATCGTTGGGTTCCTCTTACGTTGCGATGAGTTGGGTTTCCAGCCGACGACGACTCTATTCATGAACCTCTACCAGATAGGCCGGGGAAGTCATAAGAACTGCGCTTGCTACGCCACTCTCCAACAATTGCCGAAGAAGAGGAGCTTCACTGACTTGCCGTCGTCCATCCATGGTTGGAAGAGTAAGTTTGTTTTCGTGTCGTTGGGTGAGGGAGGCGTTGAATTTCCATCCATCGGCCACAGTGGGCGATTCAATCTCCACGACACGCCGAAGAGTTCAATTTTGGACGCTCAGGTGGCAGCCTTCCTGAAGGGAGGGCCGAGGAGCGTGAAGGACTACATCACCGAGTATAAGATGACCGCCCTCGGCTTCTTCAGGTATTTTGTGTACGGTGACAAGGAAGAGGATGTTGAACTGTAGCCGAGGATGACCACAACGTTTGAGGTGCCCGATGGGCCGGACTTGGGTGTGCCTGCCGAAGCCGAAGGTAATACCCCCCCACATCTTCCCTAACTTTGCTCATTTTTCGTTTATTTGACGTTTTGTTTCCTTTGTCGTGCAGGCTTTCAGATGGATCGCCGATCGGTGATGAATAGGGCCGCCGCCAAGGCGAAGGCGGAACTGGCCGCCAAGGAGGCCGCAGCAAAGGTGGCGGCAACAGGGGAACAACCGAGTGGTGATGTGCCGAAGAAACCACCAACTCAGAAGAAGAAGCGGCCGATGGATGACAACCAGAAGAAGCTGACGGAGGCTGGGATGCAACCAGCCAAGAAGTCAAAGAAAGCTTCTCCCTCTGTGGCTGATACCGGAGTGCTGACTGTCCCTCTTGAGGACGAGGGGGGTTCCCGTGCTGCTGCTATAGTGGACCTCTCCTCCGGTCTTTCTGCTGATGTTTCCCGACCCCTTTCTGCCGTCCCGGACTCCCAGAAGAAGAGGGCCGGTAAGGAGCTAGCCACGGCCACCTATAAAATGGAGGTGGAGTACCCCATGGACGGAGGCGTCTTCAACGAGGTTGTTGACGGCCACGATGCGCTCTCCCAAGCCATCCAGGCCAAGGACCGGATCTACCTCGACAAGCTCGGTGACGTCAAGATCTACGACGGTGGGATGGACCTCGTCGTCCAAGTAAGTTTTTTTTACTTTGCCGTTTTCCTTGAATGTTTTCATGAATGCGTTGTCTAACCGTTTTGTTTTGCAGGGTGCCTTCATGTTGATGGAGAGTAATAAGAGGCAACAGCGGGAGATTGCTCGGCTGAGGGAGGTGGAGCAGAAAGCTGCTTCAGCCGACGAGGCCATAAGTTGCTTGGGCCGGCTGCGGGAAGACGTGGCTGTCCTGAAGAAGAGGGCTGAAGAGGCCGATGCGGCCAGGGACGAGGCCTTGGATAAACTTGCTGCTGAGAAGGAGGCGCGCGAAGTTGATCGTCGCCGTGCTGATGAGGCCGAGAAAGCCAAGGCCGAGGTTGAGGCTGCAGCGGAGAGGGCCGCCGATGCTGCCATCCAAAAGTTCCTGGATGAGGGGTGGAAAGCCGAAGAGCTCCTGCCTTGGTGCTACGACGTTGTTGCTGCCAAGCTCGAGGATTAGGGGACGAACTCTCCTGCCGGCCAGGAGTATTTTGAGAGGGAGATGGCGGTGTATTATAACATGGGCCAGCAACGGATGCAACGGCTCCTCTATCGGCGACTACGACGTGCCTTCAAGAGTCTGACGGTTACCAGGGGTTGGGCAAAGAGGAACCTGAAGCTTCCCAAGATGATGAAGGATCCGGAGGCCGAGGTCAAGCTCCCCCTTCTGAAAGGCAGGTGCCAATAGATAGCTCCGGTCTCGGCGAATCAGATTACTCCGATGATGACGCTGAGGGATAGTGTACCCGGGGGGTAGCTTATCCGAGGGGTTATCACGGGGAGTAATAGGAGAGAAGTCAGAGCAAGTAAGTATAGAGAGAGAAAGTGTATTATAAAGTGTGGAGTGTTTTCAGCGTTTTTCTCTCTCTTACAAATGGGGAAATGGGGTGTTATTTATAGTAGCAATAAATGCCGGACAGGGACACGTGTCAAGCGCCCATTGGCTGAGAGGTCACCTCATCTGGTTGGCGCTGGCAACCGCATGTGGCCGTATTTAATGCGGCTGTTGGATGGGACGTTGTACAGGGTACGGTGATTGTACGCATGTGGCGCGGATATCATGTCGGGGAAGGTGCCCTCGGCTGCAGAGGACTAGCCGAGGGCTCTGAGTGTCAGGGACCCCTGGGTGCCGAGGGCTCCAGGTGCCGAGGGCTACTGTTTTCTGCCGTTTTTCTCCCAGTTTCTTAGTTTGCTTGAGAAACTCGTTCTGTGAGAGTTTAGAGCCTTCGGCCAGGGGGGCCGAAGGCACCCCTGGTGCGCATTGCGGGCTGCTTGGTACTCCGGGCGCCGTGATTTGGGCCTGTTGGGCCTTCTGGGCCTGTTGGGCCTTTACTGGAGTAGTAGGAGTCTGTGGGCCGGGTGTTCCCGGGCCATATACTCCATCAAGAGTCCCTCACTCCTTTTGCTGAAAGGTACTTGAGGGAAAAGAAGTAATTTGTGTTTGTCCCCTGCCGTTGTTCCGTTGTAATCTCTGAGGTTGGTGAGGAGTTGTTGCTTGTATGTCCCTGCCGAAGGCAGTCCCTCAGTTACCCACATGTCGGGACTTGAGGGATTGCTTTGCCGCCTGTTGGAATTTTTCACCATTTTTGTAATTTAATGATTTCCCCGAAGGGGTTCTCCAGTCCCCCACTCCTTGAGGCACTTGTAAAGTGGTGAAAAGGAGTAGAGTTTAGTCCGTTGTAGCATGGGGCCGAAGGCTGACGCTTTTCGTTTCATTTTGGGGGGATGCCTCGTTAAAAACCTCATTAGGAAAAACCCTGTGGGAAAAAATCCTAATGAGGGAAAAAGAGTGCACCGAATTCCCCCAACGATGAATCGAAAACGTGAAACCTTGGTTCAAAATGGAGAATAATGGAAATGCTGAAGGCTCTCCTCGTTCTGAGGGCTCATGTGTTGAGTAGCCGGAGGCTTGTCGTTGATGTCATGGGAGGTGCCGAAGGGGAGCCCCTCAATCTGGGGATCGAGGGCGTGATGGATGAGGGCAGTAGTTGAATTTGTTATCGGGGTGTCCCCTGCTTGTTGATTAGTTGGTGATGAGGATATCCGAGGGATCCCATTACCTGTGTGCCGTAGGCTATCCGTCGATGAGGCATACTCCCCGGGGGCTACCCGGCCCTTACAGTGCTGAGGGGAATCCCCGAGGGGTGGCCTGATATGAAGTCTTGGGCTTCTGAAGGAGTGATCCCGAAGGCGACTGTTATGTACTGTGTGGGGCACAACCCGGGGGCATCTCTGGGTAAGCGTACCCGGAGGCTCTCCTTGATGAAGTGGACTGAAGTAAGAAAATACGGGGGCTCCCAGAATATAGCCGTTGGAAATATAGCCGTTGGAATATGTAACGTCAGGATATAGCCGTTGGGGGGGAGTACACGTGGCGCGTGATGGTTGGCTGCCCGTGGGCGGCGTCACCGGTTCGGCGAAGACACGACGTGTAATGATGACAGTCCAACCGGAGGCCCGGTTCCCAGGCCCAAGCCCGGATTTCAGCGCCTATAAATACCCCATGGCCGGCTTCCTTCCCCTTGTGCGAAATCCTTATAGCGAAGCTCTGCCAAAATTTCTAGAGAGAGAAACAGCAGCCCTCGATCAATCCTCAGTTCTCAAAGGTCAGTTCCCCCCTGCTCTTCTCCTTCTAGTTAGCTGTGCCTTGTACCCTTAGGCTAGGAGATAGAATTTTCTAGAAAACCTTAGTTCTTCCGAGCCCTCGAGCTAGTGAATAGATGTCTTCACAGAGTGATTCCCAAGACATCTCGGGGGCGCCCTCGATGGAGGATGAAGTCCTCTCGGATGTGGAGTCCTCAAACGAACAGTCCTCGGCCCAGGAGGATATTGCGATGGCCGTAGAAGTGCAGAAGGAGCTGTTGGCTGAAGTTGAAGCCGAGGGCTTCGAGCAGGAGGTGGAAGACGAAGAGCTGGCCCTCGCCATGCAGGTTGCAGAGGAGGAGGAAGCAAAGGAGAGGACGAGGGTGACCGTGGCCGTCCTTCCCCCTCGGGGTGCTGGTGAGGCCAGCACCTCTCGGCCGCTGAACGCGGTTCCCATCCGGGTGGCCCCCGGAAAGAAGAAGGCCAAGGTAGCTGCTCCCAAGAAAAAGGGCAGCGTTGCAGATCAAGGGAAGCCCCTCGATATGCCCGAGGGGTACTCCTACCTGAACACCGCCGCCTTGGAAATAAGGTCGAAGGTTGATGCGGCGGACATCTACGTCACTCAGCTTCACGTGGGCCCCTCGGCCATCGTGGTGACACCGGGTCCAGATGACGTCCTCTCCCGGGCTCCCGAGGGATGTATTGCGGTGCACGTTCTCTCGGTGTCCATGGGGCTCCGCTTCCCCCTGCACCCTTCCTCCGGGAGTACCTCCGGTTCGTGGGTCTGGTCCCCTGCCAGCTGACCCCGAACAACCATTCTTACATTACTGGCTTCCTCCAGCTCTGCAAGTCCCGGGGGGTGACGCCTAGCCTGGACCTCTTCTTCCAGAGCTTCAATCTGTGCGGGGGGGGGGGGGGGGGGCATGCGAATGCCGAGGGCTTCGCAAACTTGCAGCAGGTGGCCATGTTCAAGCTCTTCACTGAGGCGCCCTCCTCGAACAAAGGGTGGAAGGACCGGTGGTGCTATGTGAAGCTGACCGAGAGCCCCTTCCCGAGGGAGTTGCGCGACCGTTTCAGGAGGCACGAGAAGAGGAGGAGCGCCGCCCTCGAGAAAGACGACATGATTCTGGCCATGATCCCGGAGGGCCGGGACAAGAATATCACCATTAAGGAGTGCACCAAAGAGGGAGATCTCTACACCCTCGGGTTCCGGCGGTATCGCTTCCTGGGGGAAACAGATGAGAAGTTCTCGGTGTTTGAGGGAGCCTCCGGAGGTAGTGGCTGAGGGCACCCTCATTTTCATATCTTAGCAAATAGTTTATCTGTTTGTTCTTTTATTTCTTGTGCCTTCTGTTAGTGACCCCTCGATTTTAACCCCATACTATTTTTGCAGGTATCCCAGTGAATATGATGAACGTCAAAGGCCTTGCTCGATTCAAAAACAAGCCGGCCAAGGGTCCGAAGGGGTCGGACGCGGGCGGCCAAAAGCCCGTCGGTGCGCTTTTCAAGGAGCCCGAGGGCGATGCTGCTGCCGCGAAGAGGAAACCGACGGCAAAGGAGTCCCCCAGGCCACCAAGAGATCGAAGAAGGGGGACGCCGCGAAGAAGGACCCTCCGATGGTGATCATGGATGATTGCCCCGCCTCCGGGGTGCACGAGGAGATGTCGGTGGCGAAGGTGCCGAGGGGTGTCCGGGAGCCATCTCTTGAGGTTCTTACGCTCTCCCTCCCGGCTGGTACGGCCGTGTTGAATGGCACTGCTGACCCGAGGGCGCTTCTAAGAGGTATAACCCTCGGTATTGATAGGGCAGCCCTCGGGGCCGATGACGACCAAGCCCTCGAGGACAGGATCCTCCGGTCTTCCCTCACGGTAAGTCTATGACAGTTATCTTTCTCTTCTTTACTTCGAACTAGGAAATCATGTTCGGCCCTGCTAACTCCTTTATTTTTGCAGACCTGTATTGCCCTCGGAGAGCAGGCCCGACGGCTGGAGGAATGGCGTCTCCACAAAGCTGGGCAAGACGCAAAGATGAAGGAGCTCATTCTCAAGGACTCCAAGGCCACGAAGCTGATGGCCCAGCTTGAAGAGGACCTCCAGCTTGCGAGAGCGGAGGCCGGAAGGCTTAGGGAGGAGAAAGCAAAAGCTGAGGAGGCTGCTGCGGAGGCCGCAAGGAAAGCCGCCGAGGAGGCCGAGGCCGTCAGAGCGAAGGCTGTCGTCACAGCCCGGGAGGAGGCCATCTCCGGGTTCCTGGTTGGGGGGTGGAAGGCTGAGGGACACAAGGAGTGGCTGTCCTCGGTTGTGGAGGCCTCAGTCGATGAGTGGTGCGAGGGCCCGGGCGAGGAATGGATGGCCCGAAAGGGCAAGCAGTATTATGATGGGGGCGAATTTTTCACCCAAGCCCTCATCTACCGGAGGATGGCTCGCCACTTGAAAATTGAGCCGAAGGACTTCGACTCGGCGGCATACGGGCTCCCCCCTGCAGCCAGACATCCGTGTTCCTCTCCCCTCCGATGTCGAGAGGCCAGACCTGGAGGACACCGAGCTCCGGAAGGAAGCCGAGGGTGACGAACCTGAGGCCGATGCAGAGGTCACTTCGAAGCCATCGGAGGAGGCGGCCCCCGGGAATGATGTTGTTGATTTGTAGTCTGTACTTAGTATATATTTGGGACTTGCTTTGTAATGGTCACATTCTTATACTTTCGGCCCCGGCCATCATTGTAACAATCACTTTTACTCTTCTTTTTGATGATTGATGAATGTTAGCCCTCGGGCCTTGTGTATTTGACTTGCTTACTTTAATTCATTTCCTCTCGAATGTATGTCGTCGTTTTCTCTTGAATGTATGCCTTCGCCCTTTTTGAATGTATGTTTAGGACTTAGAAGATTTTCTTCCAAGTACGTTGCCCCTTGTAGCCCTCGGCTACTAGAAATCTTTAGTCAGTTGAACCTTTCGCCGAGGGTGCAATGTTCAGGACTTGGAAATATTTCTAAGTGTTTGTTCATCTGTTGGCCCCCGACTGATCTTCCCTTCTGGTTTCGTGTAGCTTTCGTGCGGTGGCCAGAGGTGAGGTGCTTAGGACTTAGAGAATTCTTCTAAGTGTTTGAATACAGTCATAGCCTTCGGTAGTTGGGCACCCTTTGCTAGATGTATGACCGAGGGCCCAGCAAAAGTTAGGACTTAGAAATTTTTTCTGAGTGTAGTCTCACCAATCCTTCAATCGTGTGACCCCTCGGGTTGCAAGGAGATTTGGGACTTAGGGGTTTTTCTAAGTGTAGCATGTATGTAGTAGGAGCCCTCGGATGACTGTGAGGACAATGTTTGGGGTACGCCCTCGGCTGGCTGGTGGCTCCACAAGGGGCGAAGCATTTAGGACTTAGCTTGTTTTCCTAAGTGTAGCACACCATAGGGCCTTCGGCTGTTTGTAGTTCAGTTGTTGTGAGATGATTAGGTTGAGAACCCAATCCTTAAGACTTAGAAAAATTTCTAAGTGTAGTTCCCCATTGGAAGCCCTCGGCTGGTAGCCTCCTTCCTGATGTGTGAATATTGGACCGAGGGCCCAACATATAGGAGTTAGAAAATTTTCTAAGTGCTGTTGCATCAAGTAGCCTTCGGCTATCATGGCCCCTCAGTTGAAATGTTGATCAGGCCGGGGGCTCAATCTTCAGGACTTAGAAAATTTTCTAAGTGTTGCTTCCTTGTGTAGCCTTCGGTTAGTGACAGATGCCTCCGGCTGTTGTGTGGTATGTGAGCCTCCAGCTGTTGTCATTTTTTCAAAAGTGTGGACTTAGGAAAATTTGTAGGACATTGATGTTGTAGTGAATGCTGGTGGGATATAGGTGCCCTCGGCATTCACTTGAAGGGTTCTTGAGCTGCCTTAGTTAGTTGCATCCCCTTTTACAGGATAGGACCCCTTGGTAGCAATGGATGACCGATGGTAGGTGCCCTCGGCACTTATTTGAAGTGATCTTAGCCGTTTAGTGTACTTGAGACAGTCCCATCCCTTTGTATTGTTGAGTAGTAACCTTCGGGAAATAGGAGCCTTCAATTACCGGAGGTGTTCCCGTAGGGATCCCTCGGTATGTTGTGATTTGTTGGAGTGTTGTACTCACTGATTTCTCGATGAGTCTACTCCCCTTCACCCCCTCTCTTTTTTTTTGGTTGGTGGTGAAGGGAAGGCATCAAGAAACTTGGTTTCTTGGTAAGGCTGGGCCTATCAGGAGACCATCAGAATACACCAATGGCTCTCCTCCCTCGGGTTAACCTTCCGAGTTCCGAGGGGATCGAGGGTCGTTTCCTGGGCACAAGATATGGTGGTCTGTAACCTGCCTCCCCTTGGGGGATGGCGCGGAAAGCGCCTCATTTTTGAAAGTCGTCCCCTCGGCGCTAGACATAGTCTGTGGCCTGCCACACCCGTGGGGTGGTAGCGCGGGGAGCGTTTCGGTTTGGAAGTCGAATCCTGGGCATTTCTCGTGCCAGTCATACCCTTGGGGTGACGACGCGGAAAGCGTTCCGTTTTTGAAAGTCGAATCCTGGGCATTTCTCATACCTGTCATACCCTGGGGGTAGTGACGCGGAAAGCGTTTCAAGGAAGGGTTTTCACTTGCACACTAGTTGCAAATGGCCGGGGGCACTACGTGCCGCCGGCACCGATGGTGGCGCCTTCGGTATATGCATCCTTGTGGGGTACGACTTTTAGAAACAACACTTGGTGTTAGTTTCGATATGTAGTCCCCCGGTAGTTGGTACCGAGGGGTCTTCTGTAGGAACACTTAGTGTTCTTCTTCTGTTTGACGTTGATGGGTGAGATGTGTACCCTCGGTACTTGGTACCGAGGGGTCTCGAAATGAAACACTTGGTGTTTCCTGTTACCGGTGATGGGAGTCCCCACCTTCGGTACTGGGTACCGAGGGGTCTTGTTTGAAGCACTTGGTGTTTTCACTGTTGTTGAAGGTGTTGATGGTGTCCGCCCTCGGCACTTGGTGCCGGAGGGGGTTCTTCTCGTGGTGAGGCCTGGGGCCTGTAGTTGGTATGAGGGCTTGGCCGCTCATAAGTGTTTTGCGGGTGTTCTTGGTGTCTTGAATGTGTCTTCATTCTTCAAAATTGGAGGCCTTGGGCCATAGGATAGTACATTCACTAGTTATGAGGGCTTGGCCGCTCTTACATTATTGATAAAATTTAACTAAGTGGTGTATATTCCAGTGCCTAGGGACCTCTTTCCCGTTGGGGCGTTTGAGCTTGTAAGTCCCGGGTTTGATGATGGCTGCTATGATGTAGGGACCTTCGAATTTTGGTGCCATCTTGCCTCCCTCGGTTGGTTGGCTGGCTTCCCTCCTCCGGAGGACATAGTCCCCCACTTGGAATTCTCTGGTGCAAACCTTGGCGTCGATGTAGCCTTTGACTTGCCTTCGGTAGTTCTCTGCCCGGATGAAGGCTTGCTCCCGGCGTTCTGAAAGGAGGTGGAGGTCGAGGGCCATGTTGCTGTCGTTGACCTCGGGGTCATATTGGATCACCCTCCGGGTGGGGAGGGTGACTTCCGTAGGAGCTTTGGCTTCAAACCCGTAGCAGAGGGAGAAGGGTGTTTCACCTGTTGCTCGCCGAGGGGTGGTGCGGTAGGCCCAAAGAATGTTGTGGAGTTCTTCTACCCAGCCACCGCCCTCGGCCTCCAGCTTCTTTTTGAGACCCTCGAGCAAGGTTCGATTGGCGTTCTCTACTTGCCCGTTTCCTTGAGGGTAGGCAACGGAGGAGAAGGTGTGTTTGATGCCCCATGCCTCCAGAAGGGCACAGAAGGGGGCTGCCTCAAATTGAGTTCCGTTGTCGGAGATGATCTGCTGGGGGACGCCAAACCTTGTGAGGATGTTCTTGAGGACGAAGTGACAGCACTTTGCCTCTGTGATGCTGGCGAGGGGCTTAGCCTCAACCCACTTGGTAAAGTAGTCGATGGCCACAATGATGTACCTGTTGTTAGAGGTACCCCTCGGCAGAGGGCCCACAAGGTCTATCCCCCATCGAGAAAAGGGGACGGATGTGCTGATGGGGGCATAGTTGACCGCTGGCCTGCCGGGGGCTTTCTGGAAATGTTGGCATGTGGTGCACCTGTTGGTGATTTTAGTATCACCAGGTTCATTTTAGTGTAATGGAATTTACAGATTACCAATGGAGTTCAATTTTAATTTTAGACAAGTTAGGAGGTGCGGAGCGCACACTTGTACGAAATTAAATTTAAACTTGGTTCGATTAAATGGCGGGGGTCAAGGGGGCTGCGCCCCCTGGCGGGGTCCAAGGGGCAGCGCCCCGGACCAAAATTTTATTTTATTAAAGAAATAAATATGGAAATTTATTTTCGGGTAAACATGTCCATATTAATTATTTAATAGAATGACTTTCTGTTAGAGTAAAACTCTAACCGATTGGCCTTATCTCTTTGGTAATCAGAAGAATTCGAGTTCTACTAAAACTGCTAGTTCGTGGTCTATATATTGGTGCCTCAGTTTTAGACTGTCTCTCAGAGTGATTATCCTCATAATCTAAATTTCGTGTAACCCAGGCATAGGGTCGAAATATTAGATTCGGAAAGTGATCACACGATACTCTGAGAAATCCGCCAGATTTTCTAAAATAGTTTCCCAACTCCCCAGAATTAACAGCACCTTCGGGCAAGCTCCGATTTCCAGCTGTATTTGGTGGAGGGATCAAGGGATGAGGATGGATTTCAATACTCGTATTGTTACAGTATTGAAGGAGATCCAAAGACCTTTAAAGAGGCCATGGAATCCCGAGATGTGACCTTTTGGAAAGAGGCAATTGATGATGAATTATCATCAATTTTAGAAAACAATACATGGGTGCTATGTGATTTGCCACCAGGTTCTAAACCTTTGGGTTGCAAATGGATCTTCAAAAAGAAGATGAAGGTAGATGGAACTATAGATAAGTTCAAAGCACGTTTGGTAATACAAGGGTTTAAACAAAAACCAGGTATTGATTATTTTGACACATATGCACCAGTGGCCCGGATATCTACCATTAGATTGTTGGTTGCTTTGGCAGCCATCCACAATC